TTTTTTTGTCTTCAAATCGTCTGTCTTGAATGGTTTCGTGTGGTGGGAAGTTCATTTTTTTAATGTGTATCTCTTCATTTCTTTTAACTTTTTTTGTGTCTCTTCAAATCGTTTGTCACGAATGTTTTCGTGTGGTTCTGTGGCGGGACGTCAAACATGGGTGTTCAAATCATTGATGCAAGCTGCTTAACGTTAGTTAACAATGAAACACAAAAACAGACAGAGATGAACATGGATTGTGTGCATGCATAGGAGGCAATCATCTTTAAATCATTCCACCGAAGAGACGAGAACAGCGGACACATCACAGAAAAAAAGGGTGCGCTAAAAGCGCTATGAACTTCTTGCCCAGTGAACTGCGATGATAAAAACAGAATACATGACGACACTCATTGAACTCGGCGTCGACTCCAACGACCGATATACTAAACACCTGCACTTAACGCAACATACACGATTGAAATCAATCAACCCGTCGTTGTGGCACAGCCGACGCGCTAAACATCTGTGCAACCGAGGACGATTCTATCGAATCTCTCTCACCGACACACTAAACAGGTGCGCACTACACACCGGTCCAACCACAACGAAGCCAATCACGACAGCGCGCCCCCCCCCCCTTACGCGTCATCTTTTCCATCGTTGTTGTTGTCATCATCGGGGGGGCCCGAACCCAACCAATCTAGCTTCTTCGCATCCTCCAGCCCCGTTATGCTCGAGTCGTGATTGAAACCAATGCCCCAGGGTGCCCATTGAGGGATGTAGTCGGGGTACTGTCCGAACGTGGCATATGCCTTCCCGAGCCTCTCCGTGACGACTTTCGTGGCGCGGACGACGGATTGTCGATGATCGAAGGAGTGATGCATGGACGCGACGAGTGTGGGCTTCGCCACGAGGTTCGTGAAGTAGAAAGCCTCGTAGTGACTGCGCGGATCGTCTCCCGCCATGCGCATTATCCACATGCATGCCGCTAACAACAGCCTGAAGCAGTCATGCACCCGACAAAGACGATCGTGCGAGATGAAGTCGCCATCAATAAACGCCCCCATTTGCACCACCGCGCGGAATGCATGCGTGACGCAGATGACGGTGGACTCCTGGTGCGCAACCATGTCGTCGTCGTCCGGTCTGTCCTCGATGTTGGCGCCGGTGAGCCACAGTGGTAAGTCCATGGACAGATCTATCGTTTGCGCGCAAACCGCCGGACCGACGACGTCGCACCACTCCTCGCCGTACCACATAGCACGCGGAATGTCCGTCGCTACGGACTCAAGCGAGTACTGGAAAGCCACATTGTATCCCCTTGGGCGGCTCCTGGACTTGAATACCCAGCCATGCAAGATGCGCAGAGCAACGTTCTCCACTGCCGCCGCATGGGAGATCGCTTGCTGCAACTGTGATTGGTCGAGGATCCTGCCTACCCTCGTGCTGGATTTGGGCAGTACGACGCTTCGAGGGACGGCAGGCGGTGGAAGTCCGCTGGCGATGGCGACAAAGTACTCTCTCGTATCATGGACGATGTTGTACAGTCTTCACCCCTCCCCCGTCGTCCAGAAAGCTTTGTCATCGACCCAAAGGACGGTATGATCGATGAGGTCTTTTGTCATCACTCCCCTGCGTAGCCGGCTTGAACCGAGCTCGCGGCCCTCCCGATCACTTTTCTTCTCGCCACGGGTCTCCTCTCTCGCCTTCACCACAACTGCTGCCTCCTCTCTCACCGTCGCAACGGGGGCCACAGTGCCTGAAGCACCCGCCCCCGCCACACCTGTCGCCTCGCCACCAACTGCGCGTGCGTCTTCCACGACTTCCCCCCCGCCGCTGCGTTGGACGGACCCTCCGTCACCACCCTCGTTGCGCTGACGTGGCTGAGACGACGTGGCGACCGGCCTACCCGGGACTGGCCTTTCGTCTACAGCAGCGCGGGCCATCACCGCCGGCGGTGGGGTTGCCGTCGTACGAGTGCGCATGCGACGTCTTTCCAAGGGCTCGTCATCCTCGCCGCCGATATTGACGACGACAACCTTCTCTGTCCGCCTTTTGCGGGAACGCAGTTGCTGCGCCTCGGGTGGAGGGGTTAGCATCCTTTTCAAAGCGCTCTGATCAGAAGAGCGCTGCCTACCGCTCTCCCGTATTGCAGACGCGGTCGCCTCTGCCTGCTCTTCCTTCGTCGTGAAGTCTTCGTCGTAGTCCCCCTCCGCTGCTGCCGCCCAACCTTGCGCTCCACGAGGAGGCACCCTTGCTGACGCATCATCCGAACGCACGCTCTTCGCCTTCGGGACTTGCCGCCGACCTCTTCCCTGCCCTTGGCTGTCGTCAGGGACTCCGTCGCGCTTCTTCCCACGGGCGGTTCCTCGCATAGACATGCTTCGTGGCGGCCTGCAGCTTGGTGGTGTGATCGGATGAGCGGGAAGTGCTTCACCGACCGCCGTTTGAAGTCTCGCCGATCTGGCGAGACAAATGTCTCCCGTGCTGCTGTGGCGTGACGACGACGGATACCCCCACGACGCAGAAGATATGCGGGTTGGGATGCGCAGGACTGAAGTACTCTCTCACAGATGGACCTCCCACGACGTCGCTTCTCTGTGGCGTGAAACGGCATCGTCGACGGTGGCACGTGCGACCGCCTTGCCTACCCTGGCGTATCATTTCGATCCTCCCCGAGGCGCGAAAAGACCCTTCGACGTCCCTGGCGACGCGCGTCAATGCACTCGCCAGGCACTGAACCCCTGGCCACCCCATCGCATCTCCCCCTCGCAGCCACCAACCCACGCCCCCCCCCCAACCCCCGCTTCCACTCCAGACCCCATTGTCCACAATCCCGAAACCACACACCCCCTTCCAGACGTGGCTGTCTGGTTGTCGAGCTAC